AATTCCCTTCTATGGAAACAACCAATATTATCAGCTTTTTAGGAATCAGCTTTTTCAGAGATATGCAAATATATATATATGTCTCTCAAATAAATGGGCTCCTCCTCAAGCAGTTTTGGAGTTCGCTTTTTCACTTTACTGAGCGTGTATACACATATTTAAAAAATGTCTGTGACTATTGATAACATTTAAGTGTTTTCATTTGTGTTATGAAAGGCAATGCTGCAGTGAATAATCTAGTAAATTTGTCATGTTCACATGTGTATTTCGGTAGGAAGATTTTTCTAGAAGTGGAATTGCTAGGTCAATGGGCGTGGCCACTTTTAATCTTGATCAGCATTACCTAACTGTCCTCCATAAAGAGCGTCCAATTTTCCAGGCACGAGCAATATTACGGAAGTCTATGTCCCCACACCTTAGCCAACACAATGTGTTATCAAACTTTTTGGCAAGTTCCATTAAAAAATTAACGATAGATCTAATTTTAAGTGTTTGTGTGTGTGTGTCCGTGTGAGACAAATTTACGATCATCTCTTGGGTTAAAAATCAGCCAAAGTATCTGGAGGTGTTGGCAATCTGGAGGTTCTAACCTCACGTTCAGAGAAGGTAACTCTTGCTTAACTCCAAGCATAATTAAAGAATGGGGTAGAAAAATGCCAGGGATAGCCAGCTGCTTTAATAAAGAGATTTCACTTTTGGGGAGCAATTTACAGTTTTTAAGTGCATTTTATATACATTGAGTTGGGCCAGTGGGTACATTCCTGTATTTTCAAGAATTTAAAGCATAAGCTGTAGGAGACAGCTTGATGAACACATGCTTTGTAGGCTGATGTTTTGGACAAGATTTGGGGTATCTCTTGATTATTTTAAGGAGAGCACTATCTGAAATCTGCTTTACAGCCACGCTGTGAAGATTAAATGGCATGATGTCTGTGAAGCTTTTTGTCATATTTGACACAGCAGGCATTCAATAAATGTAGTTGTGATTACTAGTTAATAAACCATATGTTGTTATATGTAGTGATGGCAGATGAAAGGGCTACTCTGGTGATATAATCTGCCCTCTTGGAGTAAGGGCTCTGGCGTCTAGTAAATTCCCCTCTGGCACTTATTGGTAACGTGGAAGAATAAAATCCAAGTCTCAAGGTTTGCCCTGAAGCCTAAGTGTGTCATACTCATAAATACTTACTACGCATTCTTTTTTCCTCCCGGTCTAATGGAGGAGACATCCAACAACCCGTTAATTAGCCCAATAACCCCAGGACGTCCGGGGGACTCAGATCAGGTAGACGCGGGCCAGTCGGTCGCGGCCGGTGCCCCGCCGGTGGGAGGAGGAAGGACCCAGGAGCGAGGAGC